TCCATTAATCTGGAAGAGTTTCGCAGTCTATCTTTATGACCTTGCCATTTTTAGGGGTACAGGCTAATTATTTTATGTAATGTCTTTCAGTTTGGATTTGTCTGGTACCTCCACATGATTAGGTTAGGATTATTTTGATAGAAATATCACACATATAAAGGTATATATTATCAGATTACATATGATGTCAATTTTCTTCAGAATCGTCTTGTAGAAATATACATCTAATCTTGTCTCTCACCTGTTTAAAACCTTTCACTGGTTTTCATTGCTCTTAGGATAAGTACCAAGTTCCTCTTAATATATTATGGTTTATGCCTACCCCTCTAGTATCTCAGTTTCTATTTCCTTTTAGTTTCAAAAAAAACCATACTTCTTACCTGGGAGCAATCACACTCATTTTTCCATTAGCTATAAAGGCTCTTCTTTCCCTGCCTTATCCTGCCTTCCCTTAGCCTACTTCTTAGGAGCTCATGACTCCGATCAATTATGACTTCAGTTTCTATATCAGAAGGACGTAATGATGGCATTCTGGTTGGATGAGGGGGACAAGTATGTGGGCCTCTTCTTGAAGTTTCATTTGAATAACCTTTATGTAAGATCTCCATGCCAAAGGCTAGTGAGAATGACTAGAGGAAAATATGGGTCTTGTAGTTGTCTTTCTCTGTTACTTCCAAACCCTATCCTTTGATCCAGTTTCCCCTTGACTCTCAGACTGTCCAGATCTCAGCTCAATCATCATGGATCCACAGAAGTCTTTAGATGCTTCCTAGCCCAGTCGCTCTTTAGGGAACTTTGTACCATCCTGCATCATCATTTTTAACATCATCTTCTCTATGTGATTACTTCTAATGTCTGTCTTCCCTGCTTCCTTGGGGACAGGTATGTTTTGTTCACCGTCATATCACCAGCATGCCTGACACATAAATAAAGATTCATTAATGAATGAATGAAGATGAACAATTCTCCTGCAGTACTACACCAGATGTTGAAGTTCTGCCCTCCATGTTCCCTCTTTCTAGAAACATTTCCTTCATCCTCACCTCCTAACTCCTATTCCCAGATCTCCCACAACACTGCACACTGTCAGAGGCCCTTCCTATGTGAACCTGTAACACTTCTGCTTACCCCATCACGCTTTTATTTTATTCTGTTGTAATTGCTGTTTATCATTACCCTTTACTAAAGTGCAAACTCCTAAAACTCAAGGTTTGTTTTGTACTATCATTACATTACAGTACAGTGTTATATATTGTATCCATGTACTTTGTATACTTTGCTCAGAATAAGCTTTTATTAAATATTTTTTAAGTGAATGAATGTAGTCATGCCTCTTACATTATTTTCTGATTATAAAAGTAATGCATTTCAAAATAGGAGTTTAGAAAAACGAAAAGTACAAGGAGAAAGTAAATTGCATATCGTGTTCCTTCTACCTTTTGCTATTTTGTTAGGTGACAGAGTACTTTTAAATGCCTTAGGTTATTTATTTACTTATGGGAATATTTTACCTAATTTAAAAAAAAACACGTTTATTTATTTACTTTGAGAGAGAGCATGGGCAGGGGAGGGTAGAGAGAGAAGGAGAATCCCAAGCAGGCCCTGTGCTGCCAGCACATGGCCCAACATGGAACCCGAACCCACGAGCATGACACGAGCCAAAATCAAGAGTCAGACACTTAACCAACTTAGCCACCCAGACAACCTGGGAATATTTTACTTATTTAAAAACAAAAATAAACAGGTGAAGGGGATTAAGAGGTTCAGACCTCCAGTTATTAAGTAAATAAGTCACAGAGATGAAAAGTACAGCATAAGGAATATAGTTATTAATATTGTAACATATGGTAATCTGGTGACTGTAGTTCTCATGGTAAGCATTTAGTAATGTATAGAATTGTCAGATCAATATGTTGTACACCTAAATCTAATATAATGTTGTAAGTCAACTATACTTCAGTAATATAAATACTAAAAAGCAGATCTTGTATACATGTTTTTTTCTCAAATGTAATATTTTTAATGCCATTCTTTTCTAAGAAATTATTAAATAGGAGATGCAAAGATGTGTTAATCTATAATGTAATTTATCTAATATCTTCACCTCTCATATTTTACTAAAGTAGATTTCTGTGAAGACACTTCTTTCTCCTTGTTTTAAAAAAATGTAGACAGTTAAGGGCACCTGGGTGGCTCAGTCAGCTGAAGGTCCAACTCTTGGTTTCAGCTTGGGTTGTGATCCCAGAGTTGTGGGATTGAGCCCTGTGTTAGGCTTCCTGCTGGGTGTGAAGCTTGCTTTAGGATTCTCTCTCCACCTCTCTACCAGTCCCTCCCACGCTTGTGCACACTAAATAAATAAATAAATAAATAACACAAATTCTGTGATCATTAAGAGCAGAGTCATAAGTCCCTTCCCTTTTGGTAGCCTAAAGTGTACTGACTCTTTATGATTTAGTCACTAACTTAGTGGAACTCAGTAACCAAATATTTTCATCTCTGTAATCAGCATCCCTTTGCCACTTGGTGCCACATTTCTGTGGCCCTTCATCTTTAGCATTATTGTTATAACCTGGCCATGTTCTTCTTTGAGCAGTCAGTCCCATCTACTGGCAATTTGTCAAATCCAGAATAAATATACATGTTTTCTAGAAGCCTATGATATTTAGAAAAGTGTTTAGCAAGAGTTAAAACTACAGTATCTGAGGGGCACCTGGCTGGCTTAGTTGGTAGAACATGCAACTCTTGATCTTGGGACTGTAAGTTCAAGCCCCGCATTGGTAGAAATTACTTAAGAATAAAATCTTTAAAAAAAAAAGGAGAGGGGTGCTCTTCAGTTAAGGTCATGATATTACTGTTCATGAGATCAAGCCCCATGTCAGGCTCCGCACTGACAGCATGGAGCCTTTCCCTCTCTCCTTTTCTCCCTCTGCCCCTCCCCCACTCGTGTGTTTTTCTCTCTCTCTCTCTCAAAATAATAAACATTAAAAGAAAAGCTACAGTATCTGAAAATTTTACTTTTTAAAAAGCTATTTTTGGGCTCTTGAATGGCTCGGTTGGTTGAGTATCTAGCTCTTGATTTTGGCTCGGGTCATGATCCCAAGGTCATGGGATCGAGCCTTGTGTCGGGCTCCATGCTGAATGTGAAGCCTGCTTAAGGTTCTCTCTCTCTCTCCCTGTGCCCCTTTCTAGCTTGCATACAGTCTCACTCGCTCTTTCGCTTTCTAAAAGCTAACTAACTAAATAAATAAATTTCTCTGATAAGCAGCATACCATTTGTTGGTAGACATGATCATTTGTTGAAGACAACTAACTGAATCAGTCATCTGTAATTTGAAGGCTGATTCCTGTGTGTCTGATGCGGAACAGACAAGAGTGTATATCCTATGATCCAGTTCCCTTTGTAAAGGGAAGTGGATATTTACAATCTTCCTTTAGAGAGCTACCATGCACAAAATGAGAATAGTATTCATACTGTTTTGTCATTATACTTTTATCTAAATGCTTGGTTTTTTAATCTGATCTGGCAGCAAATGTATTTTTCAAGAAAGAAGAAGTCTGTAAGTGAAGACACACATGACTATGAGACAAGATGGGAGTTAAACAGCTAATGATAGAGTATTTTTCTGAGAGGTTAGTGCAGAAAACTCCCAGAATTTAAAATACAAGTTTATCAGGTATAACTTATATGACCCAAATTTATTCTGCTAGTAGTAATCTTCATTCCCAAATATGACATCCAAAATTCTCACTTCTTGGTAAATCAAAGCAAAATATAGAGAATGTAGGCAAAGTATATGTGAGACTTCCTAGTCCTTACATGCTCACACCTTTTCTATAAGTTTTGAATTACATCAAAATTAACTTATCCTCCAAATTACTATTGTCTTTTAAAATTTAATGCATGTGTATTTTATTCAGGCTTTTAGTCTTAGAAGATTGGAAAATATTCACAGTATTTATGTTTCTATTTGATTTTCATTCTTTTCCACCTAATTACAAAGTCAGAATTTGATAAAACTGTTTGGCAAAAGGCTAAGGGACTGTATATTAATTTGGTTTCTGATTGTAAGTCTTTTAGTCCCACACCATTACTTTGCCCTTAATTTTTACTTTACAGACTAATTTTGTGAAGAAGCACTAAAATCCTGTTGCCACCCAACTTGTACTCCCAACGTGCTTTTCTTCATCTGATACCTTGATTATTAAATTCTTCTTTTAACCAGCGTATTTCCCCCTAAGGTATTTACATCTTCAGCCTTCAACATAATTCTGCTAGGCAACTGATAGCACACAGTTAAAATCCTGAAATTGCCAGAAGTGCATGATTTCTGAATCAAGACTTTTGTAATATATCCTATACGTGAAATGAGCCTAACCTTCTAGAAAGTATTCACCTACATATGCAGTGATTTTGTAACACTCAGGAAAACTAGGTTCATTTTCCAGATTTGGAAACTCAAGCCACAGGTGAAAAGTGACTAATCCATTTATAAGCAGTGAATGTGGAATGTGGACTTGACCAGAATTCAGGTACTGTATTTTTATTTGCAGTGAATTCAGGCTGATAGGCACTAAGCATTCTTGTCAGAGCACCTGACCCCTCTGAGCCTGTTTTCTCATCCACAGTATGATGATCCTGCTCAGCCTTACCCTCGGGCTTGTTGTCAGGCACAGGCAGGGTTAAGTCAGGGGCAGTAATTGGAAAACTATAAAATGCTCTAGTGTCTCATCTTTCTTTTTTCTTTATTATTTTGCATAGAATTCTTTTCATTTTCCCAATTGAGTGCTAACCTATTTGGCTTGTTAATGTCCCATCGCCACATAATTCTTAAGCTTGCTATAACATGGTTATTTTTCTTTCATCTTCTTGATTAGTATTTTGGGTGGACATTGTTGCCAGTAATTTCAAACTGTTTTTAACTTTATGGAGATGATACAGTCACCATGAAATCACTGAGGACTGTAATCGATTTAGGATAATTTAATCTTTTGTTTTGCAGTCCCAGGCTGTCTAATCTTCCTGGCTGGTCCCTAAAGGATGGAAATGCTTTCTTGGACAAGGTAATGATAACTGAAGCATATCTACACCCAGTGGAAAGCCATCTTGTCATACCAGAGCCACCATATAGTACTGTGACTGATGGGTTCATTTTTTTTTCTCTATATATTCTTTCTGAAAAATCCCAAGATCCATGTAGGGTCTTCAGTACTTGGTGATTATTATCTTTAAGAGCCTTTTAGGGAATCTCAGTGTTCAAATTCAGGTCCAATTTGCTCGTGTGTAAAAATCTAAAAACTTCTGCTGCAAATATATTTTATCACCACAGAAAGAAAACTATTATTTTTAGAATTGTGATGAGAGTTTCAAAGGTAATGCTGATAGAGAGTTGCATCCAATTCATTCTATTTTCAGGCTATACTGACGCCATGACTGGAAGGAGTAAAACTTTAAAAAAAAAAAAAACTTTAAAATCCTCAAGTATGTGAGTTTTAAACTGCTTCTATCCGCACTTAGGTAAGGTAAGGCTTTGGAAAAAGTTTGGTTCTTACTCTTTGGGTGAGGAGAGGCCATGGAAGGTTGCAGAGGGGTGTGTCATCTTCTGATCAGATCTCTAGCTGCCCTGGAGAACAGACTGGGAAGCCAGTGTTTAACTTCCCAGGCAATGTGTTCTTGGGGCGAGTAGGAGGGTAACATGATCTTGGGTGAATTTAAATAGAGGGCCTTCCAAACTATGGACTATGATCTTATTCCAGCCTTTCCTGGTAGCCTGGAATGGACAGCCTTATAGGGTATGAAAAGAGAGCACACTACTAGGAATCTAGGATTTGGGGCCCTACTCTGACTTTAATCACTGACTAGCCCTACAGTAAATGACTTAAGTAACTTTTTTCTTCAGGGCTACTAAATTTTTGACATTGGATTATCTTCACGATAATTTCTTCCTCCGATCAGTTTTTAGGCAGTTAATTTATAAATGAGAGACCAAAGTTACCAAAAAATGTTAAAACTATAATCTAGTTACATTTTCTCCTAAAAAAAAAATCAGAGGCAGAGGTCAAAAACTGTGAAGCTCATCCATGCCATTCTCAGTCCTCTAAATCATTCTTCCTTTCCCAAGATTCACAATTGAAAGACTTAAGAAATTTAAAGATCCTCAAAAGGATTCATTTGCATAAGGCATTTCCTTCGTGTAATAGATACTATTAAATAAAGAGGTGATCTTTTTACAGAATTAATTTCTGTAACTGCACCCCAACCTCCAGTGCCGGGCAAATGCATAATTTGAAACCAGATTTCCCTCATAGCCAACTGTAAAATTATGTGACATTCAGAAACCTGTGCACCTGATTTCAGCCTAACTCTTCTACTGGCTGTAAATCATTGTTCACTGAGAAAGGCTCAGAAGCATCCCATTACCAGTGCATTGTGAGCGAAAATGACTTGCATGTATATGTGGGAGCATTTCATTAGAAGGGAGTGGGAATAATATACAGGGGCACTGTAAGTGTGTAGAATGGCAAATATGCTTCTCCAGGCCAGAAAGCCTTAGAAGAGGCTCTGTCATGTGAGCTAGACATGCCCTGATGTGTAGCATTATGGAGAAAAAGATTACATAGCCAATTTAAGAGCAGGCAGGGCTTTGAAATTTCCCATGATTTGTCTCTAATCATATTTAACCTCATCCTAAGGGAGTTGGGAGTCTTCTCCCATTAAATATAATTGCTCATTTGTTTTTAGCTAGCAGGTACATTGTAGTTAAGAACTATTTTCAGTCATCTTTGGCTCAGTCTTTCAATTTAAAAGGTAGTCCTATAAAGAGAGGAACAAGAGTTTACTGTGGAGGGCAAGGGTAGAAAATCTTCTGTCAAGGTCCTGATACGAGACCTGTAAAATTCAAAAGGAAAATAACATAGTTGATACCCTAATTTCAGATAAAGATTGAGAATAAAGCCATTCAAGCTCCCATGTATAAAAGCACATATATGAATATATAGAAATACATGTTCAGTGACTAATGAAAACATGATGGAATAAAATTCTGACAGTATTTTTCTGGAAAGAGCAAACTGTCCACCAAATTCTCACTTTTACTGGTTTCCTTATAAAGTCACAGAAAACTTTGACCTTGATGAAGCAAAAAATCCTCCACCGATTTCAGTTTCAAGTATGAATAAGGGAAGATGGCCACCTGAGTGGCTTTCTAGAGACATTGTAGCAGACCCCATAGGGGGCCCCTTTGTGCCTCTTGAGTGTGCCGCTCGGTCATGATTTCAGCTGCCCAAACCTGGATGAGTCTGCCAGAGAGTTTTTCCCCCGAAGCTGCACAAATGGCAGGAGTTACCATGTAGATATGCCAGATCCCTTGCCTCTGAGGGAGGGTAACTCCAAGCTATGTGTTTTACACCATTTCTCAGAGCTCCCCGTGGGAAGAAGTCCCAGCTGTCCACAGTGGGGTGCAGCTCAGTAACATAGCCATGATCAGCCCCCTTCCCTTCCCCTGATCACTTGCCCGTCCTCCTGCCCTTTTTTCAGCACTTCCGTGTTAGCTTGCACTCGCCATTTTCTCAGGGTCTGTTTATGAGGGAATCCAAACTAAGACATATTAAATATGGTAGGGCATAAGCAGAGTAGGGAATTATACTATATTCTCTTTCTTTATAAGTATACTTTTGTCTTTTGAATGAATACATTTGGTTTATAATCCCAAATGAATTGTAGGCTCCATCCACAAGGACAAAGTTACATTCAAAGAGGTACTGGTGGCTATTTAATCCCTACCCTCTGCTCTTCATCTCCCTCATTGCTTGGCCCTCGCCGCTCAATCCTTGGTAGGAGGAGAAAGAGCCTCTAAAAGAGCTGTGGCCATGACTCCTAACCTGATTGCATAACAAAATTGTTAGAGGTGCTTCTTATAAGTATAGGTTGCACGGCCTCACACCCAGATTTCTGATCCCTTGGGTCTTAGATGGAGCCCAGGAATCTTTACTTCCATCAGCATTCCCAGATGATTCTGATATTGCTGGTATAGGCTACATAACTATACGTTACTTAGGAAGCAGTGCGTCATGAGTTAGAAATCAGCATATGTCCACACATGCTTGAAGAGACATCAAGAAATGCGCATTCAAGTCCTGAGTCAGCCACCAACCAGCATTTTTTTATCCTGAATAAGACATATAACCTCCCTGAGCCTAAATAGGAAAACAGTTGGCCCGAATAACCTTCCAGCTTCCCTCCAACTCTCTAGCGGTCTCTGATTCTTCACAGAAAGCTTGGTTTGGGGATGAAGTTTCTTTGGTACTGTGTTATGTTGGATATCTCTTCCTAGAATTTTTTCCTTTTGGTTTCTTTTAGGAACTAAAAGAGTGCTCAGGTCATGTATTTGTGGATTCTGTGCCTGAATTCTGCCTGCCAGAGGTAAGATGAAAGTAATTCTTATTGTAGAAACAGCATATCTTGTCATCTCTCAAAATGGAAGTCAAGAAATAATCTTAAGGGGTTTAGCTTTCTGTTTTCAAAATGAAACGAATCTATTATTCTAGGCACATTATCATGCAGCTAAAATATAATCATTTAGGAGCCTCTTATATTATCTGTAGGAAATTTAACTCTCCTTTTTGTATTCCTAGCTCTTTATATAATCCCCACTGACACTTGTACCAGGGCATAGTTCTGAGCACGATACAGAAATAACTCAAGCCTTTCAGGTTTGTAATTATATCCCTGTGTCTTAGAGTAGCCATACTTTTTGTAGTCTTGCTTACAGTGGGTAAATAGGAATTGCTGTTATTCAGCCAATACAGTAAACTGTGAAAATTCTTGCTGACTTGAAGTATCATATCAAATATTGCTTGAAATTTACAGATTCTGAATTAAGCCATGGATACCTATTTGCTTACATATTATTATCACAGTGACACTTGTAAGAGTTTGGGGTCAGTTTTATCATTTTAAAGAAAACAAAGATCAGTTTTCATTCATTTTAATTTTTTGTTAGCTTATTTTTATTTTTGAGAGAGGGTCAGAGTGAGTGGTAGAGGGTCAGAGAGAGAGGGAGACGAGAATCCGAAGCAGGATCCAGGCTCCGAGCTGTCAGCACAGAGCCTGACACGGGGCTCAAACTCAAGGATTGCGAGATCATGACCTGAGCCAAAGTCGGACACTTAACTGACTGAGACACCCAGGTGCCCCCGCCCCCTTCATTTTAAAAGCAGCTAGTAACAACTGACAGTCCTGATCTCTAGAGCAGCCTAGATGGTATTCTCAACAGATCAAGTATAGGGAGCCAGCAGCTAGTCCCAGGTTCCTGAGGAAATCAGTGAGAGGCTACCCTCCTGGTCTTTCCATGTACCCGGTGGATTATGGTGCCTCTAGGAAACACTGTCACAATTCAGTGCCAGAAGAAAATTTGAAGTACTGTTTCCCTTATTTTTATACTCTCTTCCTCTTCCTCTTTCCATTTTAACACCTTCTTTGATACTCTGTAAATAAGAGTTGTTTTCTTCTTGTTTTCTCTCATTGAAGTATGTATATGTGCCCTTTTGGAATTGTGGAGCAAGATATGGTAATTGAAGGTGGCAGACAACGGAGCAAGTTTGAGATAAAGTAGTAAGAATAAGGGTGAAGATAAAGAGTTACCAAGAATCCTAAGCTCTTCCTAACTGCTATTCAAATCTTTTGTCACCTTCATTTGTCATTTAGGAATTGGTAGGGCAGGTCCCCATCTGTTCAAAGATTCCTAATCCCAGGTGCTACATTTATTTTCAGTTTGCTGCATATGGCACTGACTGCTGCAACCTTCAGTTTATGGACAACAGTGTAAAATTTATGAATTGGTGTTCTGATGACTTTTGGACCTGCTCCACAGAGTACTAATCAATTAGAAATTGGAATTAAACATTTAGTATTTCAGGGCATCTTGGTGGCTCATTCAGTTAAGCATCTGACTTCGGTTTAGGTCATCTGCAGCTCAGGTCATGATCTCACAGTCTGTGAGTTCGGGCCCCACGTTGGACCTGCTTTGGATTCTGTGTCTCCCTCTCTCTCTGCACCTCCCCTGCTCATGTTCTGTCTCTCTCTCAAAATAAATAAACATTTTTAAAAAATTACTATTTCACAGTTCACCTTTTGCTGGGCTAAAGGATTATTGATATATTTAGGCTTCTAGAGCTATGTGAGGTTTTTCAGCTTGTATTGTCTTGTAGTTTGTGTTGAGTTAATAATAGTCACTATTTTAAGGTAGAGGCAGGGCCATCATATGATAAGGAGAAAACAGTCACAGAGTCAGGAGAGAGATACTTATTCCAGTGCAGTCTTCAGAGACATATAAATGAGCTACTCCCGGTCTTCATGGAATTTATAATCTACTGCAACTACCTTAAATATTTTCGTATCCCTCCAAAGTCCACACTGTAGACTGAGTATAAGGTCTAGGGTAGTATAGTAAGCAACCGATAAATTACGAGGGTTTGACCTAATTCTTGGTCTATAGAACCCAAGTGTCTGTATACAACAAGTTTAAAATTAAAATAATCTTTATTAGATTTCACTGAGTGAAAGAATGTAAGCAAATATATAAATGGGAGTATATAAACATGGTTTGGATATTAAATTTTTTTCTCAGAGAAAATATGCTTATTTAGGCACCCTTGATATATATACAGACAGAATATATGTGTATACATATATTTTTTTCTTCCAGCTGTTCTTACCAAATTTCTGAGACTCTGCGGGCTGATTCATATATATTAAAGAGAAATTTAAAACTCACCCAGTTTCTATGTGCAAGAGGGAAAATGGATATGCTTTTGAGCTTTCTTGTTGTTTCAACTGCTGTTCTCTTGTTTTCTAAAGATTTTTTTTTTTTTTAGTTTATTTATTTGGGGGGATGGGAGGGACAGAGAGAGGAGGGGAGAGATTCTTTCTGCAGTGCCAGCACAGAGCCTGACACAGGGCTCAATCCCACAAACTGAGATCATGACCTGAACCAAAATCAAGAGTCAGATGCTTAACAAACTGAGCCGCCTGGGCATTCCTTTGTTTTCTTCTGGATCTATCACTCTGCAATTATCTCTTATTGTTCTTATTTGTTTAAAAATGGTTCTAGAGAGGTAGTAGGGAATAGAAATAGTGGAATGTTACATGACCCTTCATTATGAGAATATTGTCCTGGAAGTACAGTGTGTGACATGGAGTTAAGGATGGTGTAAATGAGCTGTTACTGTCAGTAGGCGTTTTATTCACTCAGATTGCCATTGCCCTAGCAGTGAGTAACTTCTGACCTCTAATCTACATGTTGTCCTCAGGAGCTGATTATCTCTTGGCGGCTTTATTAAATTAACTGATTTTGTATGTAAAGTCATTCAGCCAGAAAAAAACCCACAGCCAGAATGGCACACTGTCTCTATTATTTGCTAGATGGCACAGCCTTTTTTGTTATTACTTCTTCTCTGTGGGAGACATATTAGCTTAACAACCCATTTTCCTAACTAAAACACTTCCTTGACTTACCCCGTGCTGTCCTTAGTGCACTGTACAGTTTCTCAGAGGTAACTTTAGTGATTGAGACGATGTCTCTGAATAATCACGACTCACTTTTTCCCACAGAAAGTGCCAGTTCTAATGATGCATTCCTCCAACAGCAGTGCACCTAGGCCTGTTTTGCACTTGGCTACCACAGCTGGGAGGGGACAGAGATGAGCCACACAGAATTCTTACCCTGAGACATTTAATATTAGAGGGACAAAGTGGTGCTTTGAGGAGCTGTTTTTCGGAATGGCAACAGTCATAAGAGGGGCATCTACATAGGGGCGCCTGGGTGGCTCAGTAGGTTGAGCATCCTGCTTTGTCTCAGGTCATGCTTTCATGGTTTGTGAGTTCAAGCCCCACGTCAGGTGGATAGTGCAGAGCCTGCTTGGGATTCTCTCTCTCTCTCTCTCTCTCTCTCTCTCTCTCTCTCTGTCACTCCCTCTCACTCTGCCCGCCCCCATGCTCTTGCTCTCATGTGCTCTCAAAATAAAAAAAATAAAAATTTAAAAAAATTTAAAAAGAGGGCATCCAGAATGCCTTGGTGACTCTGAGAAAGAATTGTGTTTTTTTCAATCTGGGCAAATCAGAAAGGCTCAACAGAAGAAGAGAATTAAGCCTTAAAAGACAAAGACAAATAGGACTTAAATATATGGGGAAACATTCCCTTCTACTGAAAGAGTTTTCATAAAGTTTACTAAACACAAGTGGCATTTTCCCTTGTCTGCTAGCCTGTCTTTCCCTTTTCACGTGACCTTAATAGTAGAGTAAAAGGTAAATTTGGGGTTAAGGCCAGGGCAAAATATGAGAGTATAATTTCCTTTTGTGATTCTGCCACTAGATTTGTTTTGGTTCTGTATCCAGCACTAGTAGTCATAATTTCCCTTAAGGAGGAAAAGAAGTTCCCTCCTGCATTTGCCTTGTGAAGGGCTAGTTTGTGCCTGAGCTGCTCCCTCTGTCACCAGTAATCCGGGGCAGTGGAGCATTAGACTCAAGCTTCCCTCACAGCTTCTGTCGTTCTCTTTCTGCTTCACGGTACCTGGTTGCACGTGCCAGGCAGCAGCTGCTGAAACATCCTGTTGTCATTTCCCCTCATCTGCCTAATTCAGAACTCTCTTTCAGTAAAATCCAAGCACTGCTGGTGCACTGGCTGCAGTCTCGCTGTTAGCCATTCTGTCCTGCTACTTAATGCCAATATTAGGAAACATCCTAAAATGAGAGAATAGAAGCGTTGCGTGAAGGCATCATTATTCTGTAGTACAAAAACGACTCCTCTGCATTCTGACAGCATCATTTTTCAGTCACATCATGTTGATCTATGTGCCCTGAACAGATATATATCATTCCTTCCCCCTTTCTCTTCAGACCGAGCTAATAGATCTGTCTACGGTAGATGTGATCCTCATCTCTAACTACCACTGCATGATGGCACTGCCCTACATCACTGAGCACACTGGTTTCACAGGCACAGTGTATGCCACAGAGCCCACCGTCCAGATCGGCAGGTGAGAGTATATATTCTTCTCCTAGCAGAAAGTGGCTGAAGAACTCCTTCCTTCTGTGGTGACTGTTTAATAGAATGTTGTGCCAAGAGTGATTGGTGTTTTCCTTCTGAGCAGCTAACCCATAAGGAGAATTGGCGTGAATAGACCACTCTCCAAATAAAACAAGCGTTCACTGGAATTGCCTCAAGATTAATGCAGCAAGTAGTCTCAGTCCTTTGTTTGTTTGTTTTTTGAAACATAGACTGGAGAAAGGTGTTCACAGAGACAGATGATCCTAATTAGGGGAGGTAACATTGAGTAAGATGCCACAAAGATGCAATGCAAAGAGCTTTAGGAGAAAGCATAGCCAATTTAAGAAAGAAGAAATCGTATTACTTTGCTTTCAGATTTTCCCCCTTTGTGATTTAGCGCAGACTATAAATGGAGACAGCTTGTAGAAAACAGAGTAAGTAATTAGATGGTTAGTTTGACTGTACTTGTGACAAAGTGAAACTCAGAGCTCTAGGGAATAGAAGGAGCCTTCCTTTGTCTTTGAGAATGCTCTGCCATCTCTTTCTCTGCCCCTCTTGGTTGCTGCAAGTACCCACAGCATCATTTAGTAAGAGAAAAATCACATGAAGAAAATTACCTACCCCAGAAAAAAGAATTACGTTGAAGCAGACTAACAAGTATGGTATAATGTGAAACTAGCAAGACTCAAAATACGGGATCAAGGTGTCAATACAGACTCTTAGCTTTGGGTTCCAGTGTCTTGCAAAAGTACAACAAGATGGAATTACCAGAAAGAAACCAAATGTGTCTTTGTTTCTGTGTCCATTCACGCTAAAGAACATGTCATGTGTACAGGAAAAGCCAGGGGATCTGAGGAAGGGACATTATAGGAAAAGCAAACACATGGTGATGGATCACTGATAACGAGAGGATAAGCTGAAGCCCTCAGACTCTACTCTGAAAAGGTTAAAGCATGAGGAAGGACATGTTAGACTGCTCCAGGAACTCCAGCCAGAATGATAATGTGCCTGGGTCCCAGATCTTCGAATGCGCTAGAACTAATGCTCCTCCTTCAAGATGAAAGGAGATGGGATGAGGAATAAATAAATTGATGGAAATGAAATGAAGTTGTTCAACGTTCAAGTGCTAGTAAATCTACGGCCTGCCGTATCTCTGCATTGATTCGGGGAGGATTTAAGTCAATATGAGTCCTCTCTACTGGGTTCTGAAGGGGAATTCAGGATGTTGAAAATCTGTGTCTCGCTTTTTGGTCATACTCCAGCCATCCAGGATTCTCATAGGCCTCAGCCATGCATTTCTCAGAGCACATTACATCATCAATCCACTCAAGTGAAGTGTTTCTTGGGTTCCTCTCAGTTGTGATTTTGTGGTATTCCATCTTGTGATCTGCTCACAGAGCCTGGCCTTTTGCAAGTCTCGACTTAGACTTTTAGGATGAATCCTTAGAGTATTCTTCCACATGGAATTTTGTAAATTCCCAAAATGCATGTCAAGAAAACGTGCTTTTCCACTATAAAATGTCCATTTAATATTGTCATTAAAAAGGCAATCTTACCCCACCCCTGCTGCCACCAAAATCAGTTACTTCACAGTCATTTTAATTTTTCCTCCTTTCATATTTTTAATTCATAAGGGCAGAGATCTTAAGAGTGAGAGTTAAACCACGGGCTTGTGTATTTCAGTGTCCAAAGATAAGATACGTGCCAGGCTTGTTTTAAAGGTGAATTAAATCATTTATGTTCGAAACATTTTACATGGAAATTGAACGAGATGGTTGGGTTTCTGTTCAGGTTTATGTGAAAAGGTTTATGTCCAAGTTTATATGCAACAGAGAGAAACATGATTGGGGAGGGGGAAGGCAGACAAGCCCACTTGTCTTGGCTACCATGTTAAGAGTGTGGTGTTTTTCTCATTCTTTTATGAGTATTCATCACTTTTTTCTTTAAACTCAGGCTTCTAATGGAAGAGCTGGTGAATTTCATTGAAAGAGTGCCCAAAGCCCAATCTGCCTCCTTGTGGAAGAACAAGGATATTCAGCGGTGAGCCGTAGGCCTGTCTGTTCCCCTTGGCAGGCTTTTGTGAAACAGTGCCATTTGTTTCCTTGTGTTATGCTTTACCGTTTACCCTATTAGACCTGGAGATTCTCCCTGTCTTATGGAAAGACTGTATTTGACACAAACAATATATTATGAGAGGCAACTGCACCATATCCAAGGTACTGTGCTGGGTGCGAAAACTTTTTTTAAATTAGTATAGCAGTTGGCGCTGTCTTTGCGGTGTTCAGGGGTTGATGGGAAATCAGACCATTGACAGGTAAATTACAGCTTTGGATGGCATGTATTGTAAGAGGTGCTTGTCACAGTGCTATACACAGTCAGAAAATGAAGACCTCTCTGTGTAAGGACCTGACGAGGACATTCGTTAGGAGATGGCAGTTAAGGTGGGTCTTGGAGGAAGAAAAGGACTTTTCTTGATAGAAAAGGTCAGGAAGTGCATCCAGGCACAACATGACAGGATATAGTATATTCGGGGAACAGTGAGAAGTGCAGCGTGGATGCATGTGGGAAAGCAGAGAGATGAGAGATGAAACTATAGAGGTGCATTGGAAGAAGATAATGAAGAATCTGATGTGTGGACTTTGAGTTCTGTATTATGGAGAGTGGAAAGTCCCTCTCTGGAGGTTTTTAAGGAGGAAAATGTTGCAATCACATATTTGGGGGAAAGTGACTCTGGAAGCAGCATGGAGGATGGGTTGGGGTGCAGAGACCGGGGCAAAAGACCAGGGGTAGGACTTTTAGAAATCCAGGGGAGAGAACAAAAGCCTGAACTGAGGCAGTAGAAGAGAGCATGAAGAAATTTCTAAGACAAAATGGAGAATTGGTAAGAATTGTGAAAGAGGCTGTGAAGTCATCCTTAGGAAGATCAGAGGAGAGCTGAGTGGGAATTTCCCCACACCTGGGCTTGCCATTTGGTATCAGATGCTACAGAAATATCGTCATATAAGATGGAGGTAAGACCCTTGGTTATGGAAATCCCAGGGAGGTTAGTTTCACTAGAGAGCTAGGATCAAAAACCAGCTCATAAGAGGTGACGTAAGTAAAAATATAATAGTAGAGGCAAAGAGGCAGCTTGATTCTACTTCCATGCTCTCATGTTACATTGCCAGCAGAGGACACTGTCCAGTCTGAACATATTACGGTTTCTCTGACCCTCCCCTCCAGGCACCACAGTGGTCCCAGCCTTCCAGGCCTAGCATCCAGAGTCTGGAGTAAAAACTCATCATTGGCTTTTTAGGTAGTGGGTGTTCCTTGTGTGCCTGCCCCAAGTCCCTCTTTTCCAGCCACCGTGCTACTGAGTTCTTTTGCCTGCTAAGTCAGTGATTTCTGTGCTCTCTACGTATCTAAACTTTAGAATGTCATAGTTTTTGTGACTATTCCTTCTACAATAATATGTATGTGTGGCTGAGAGAATATGCTTTGTTTTTATACTGTAACTGCTTCAGAGTTTGAGCATATGAGTCTCCTCTGTGTATGTGTTATTTGTTTTGTTTAACTTACATAGCACTTGCTGTGTGCCAGACACTTGTTTTACTTAATTCACTTAAAGTCTCAACGTTTCCCTTAATTTACTTATTCTTTAACGTTATCATTTTGCAGAAGAGAAAACAGGCACAGAGAGGTTAAATAACTTGCTCAAGGTCAGCCAACTAGTGACTGGTAGGATTTAAATTGGAACCTGGGTGGTAGGGCTAGCTTGGTTCCAGAGTTTGTGCTTGTAATACATTATGCTGGGCTGCCTCAAGAGCTACACACCTCGAGTGCATGTGAGCCCCCTCAGGTGAGGAGAGGAGGGAGTATGTGTAACTGTGCTCATATTTCTCCTCTGTTTTATGGATCTTCTTTGGGTCTTGATTTCTGTGATTTAGGGATATGGTGTCTGCCTGTAAAGCTTTATGGTAGGAAATGTGTTTTGGACACACACGTGTGTCTGAGTCCTCTGTGTGTGCACCCACCTGCCTAGGACAAGGTCCCTTCCCCTTCTCATTTTGCATTCTTTTCTCAGCTGCCTTTCTTCCTGCCCATTGCTATCTCTCTTTCCCCTTTTCTTTCTCCTGTGTGCCCACTGGAGCACATAAGACCTAGCTGTCTGCATTTCCCACCTGAGAAATTTTAGGAATTTGTTTTCTTTCCCCATGGAACATGTACACATTGGCTTCCCTTATTTCCTCCTTTTAAATTTATACCCCTTATAATATGCCACAAATAATTTTGGCACACCAGAAATGCTGTTCAAAGGTCACTGTTTCCTGGCTCTCAAATCCTGGGCCAAGTCTTGGGAAGTCCCATGTCCTTATTTTGCCTTTTCTTCTGTGACCTTGGGCAGAGTCCTTGGCAGTTTTCCTTTGCCTCCCATTCTTTGTAAAATACAACCAGGTAACTGACTTACAAAAGAAGTCTGTCGTTTATGAGGGAGAAGGGTGAAATGAACTTGAAGGAGCAGAGGGTGGGGAGGGCAAGTTTGCAGGATTAGATTGAAAGTTATTTCCTAAGATGCTTAGGAAATCTTCCTTTTAAAACAGGGTGCTCCTCCTCCTACACTGTTGGTGGGAATGTAAACTGGTACAGCCCCTCTGGAAAACAGTGTGGAGGTTCCTCAGGAAACTAACAATAGAACTCCCTTATGACCCAGCAATAGCACTGCTAGGAATTTACCCAAGGGATACAGAAATGCTGAGGCATAGGAGCACATGTACCCCAATGTTCATAGCAGCACTCTCCACAATAGCTAAAACATGGAAAGAGCCTAAGTGTCCATCAACAGATGAATGGATCAAGAAGATGTGGTTTATCTATACCATGGAATACTACATGGCAATGAGAAACAATGAAATCTGGCCATGTGTAGCAACATGGATGGACCTTGAGGGTGTTATGCTGAGCGAAATAAGTCAGGCAGAGAAGGACAAATATCATATGTTTGCACGTATAGGAGGATTAGGAGGAACTTGACGGAGGAACAAGCGGGAGAAGAAGGGCGGAAATGGTGGGGGAAAGGGAGAGAGGCAAACCATGAGAGACTCTTGAATGCTGACAAAAACTGAGGACTGATGGATGTGGGGGGGAGGGGGGGATGGGCATGGAGGAGGGCACTTTGGGGATGAGCACTGAGTGTTATGTAGAAACTAATTTGACAATAAACTATTTGTAAAAAAATAAATAAATAAATAAATAAATAAATAAAAAATAAAATGTCATTAACGGGAAAAAAAAATAAAAATAAAACAGGGTGCTCCTTGAAATAAAACCGCGAATTTGCTATCTTGCCACCTGGTGGCAAAAATCTGAAACTGTTGAAAGCTAATTTGGTAAGGGAGCAAGCACAATAACTTGCACTCATTTCATTATTTCCTATATCGTAACCATATTTCTGCTGCTGGTCAAGTATTTTGTTTTGGCTCCTGAGCATGAGATGAGCTATAGTTATTGATAGAGAAAGAGAAGAGTCTTACCGGTAAAAATGTGGTGAGGTGTTAGAGAAACAAACCAAGCAAGCCATGTCCTCTTTTTCTCCTGGATAAATTCCGCATAAATATTACAAGTGGTAGAGGAATTTGGAGAGCTCTTTTGTAATTGACATCAGATAAAAAAAAAAAAAAAGGTTCTTGTGAAATATTAACCTAGAATTTAACCTTGGGCCAGAATACTAAAAGTGCTTCATTTGAATAACATTTATGCTGAAGGATTGACATCACTTTAAAATTTCTCTCTGTCGCCAGCCGGTTTATATCTAGTGTCCCAAAGTACTGTGGCACACTAAATTGAGTGAGAAACACTGTTTTTCGCTGTCTGTTACATTGACATTTTCCCCAAGTGATATGGGCTGTGTCTTCTTATTTTTTCATTCCCCCCCTTTTTTCCCTTTAATTCCTGTACTCACCTTGTCAAGAGGGGACTTACGTAAGGGCCACAAACTCAGATGTCTCCGGAGATGGGGGAGGTCAATCGAGGAGTGAGATGGGCCACCAGTTAACTGTGGACTAGGGACCACACCCCTCTAAAGGGGCAGCTGACACATAGCTTCAGTAGATTATGGCCATATGGAAACGTGAGCCTATTGCTGCCAAATCTGGGTGGGGTTTTTTTTCTTCTTTTTTTAAGAGAAGCCCAAACTCTGGATGTTTTAAATGTGATTTTTTTTCATCTTTTTAAAATGTTGGCTCATGCATGAAAATAAAATCCTGTATGATCCAAGCAAAACACCTCTGAGTTGGATTTGAGACTCAGCCCCCAGTCTTTGACTTAAACTTCACACAGGCTGTCTCTAGGTTAAGTGCCTAGAATTGATGCATGTTAGTAGCTTAAGTTATTTAATAAGATCATGAACTAAAGAAAATAATAAATTAAAATCTCTCAGACTCACTGGTCAAAGGAATCTGACAAATTCTCTTAAATCATTTGAAGTTAGTTTGAGTTAGCGTTTGATTTAGTATTAGGATGTATACCAAAAGAAGCTATTACTCTTGCTTTTTGGCAGTTGTCTGACTCCCCTGCCTCAGTTGACACCACTCCTTGAGATTTATTTAGAAGTTAGACATCTTTCTTCCTCATTTTGATGCTGCAGTTTACTCTTCTTGAAAAAGAGATTTTGAAGGGTAGAAAAAGGAGACTGACTCCCTTTGCGAGATAATTTTTGAGTCTCTGACTTTCCCATGCCCACTTCAAGGTTTAGGTTTTTTAACAGGAAGATTTAGAACAGAATATTCCACTTAAGAAACTAAACCAGCAGGTAGGATTTTCCTGAATAAGCCTAGAAATCTACAGTTATAATTAAGGATAACTCATTACAAGATATTGTCATAACCTTCTTGCAAGCATCAAGGAATTATGCACTGATATATTCCTGGCAGACATGTTGTGGCAGTTTTCAGTAGTCAGAGCTCAAAAATGAAGGTTTATCCCTTAGAGAAGACATAAAAGAAGACATGGTTGAAGTTCCTTAGCTCTGAGGCTCCATGGGTGTTTATAGAGAAATTTATCAG